CCCCAAAACCCCAAAACCCCAAAACCCCAAAACCCCAAATTTTCAAAATCCAAAAACCTCATAATATAAAAATTACCGTTCTCCCCTCCCAATACCCTCTCCACTTACTCAGAATCCAACGAAAAGAGGTCAAACTCATCCTTCTCCTTCTTCTCCACCTTCTTCTTATTCACTCTCTCTTCCTTCTCAGGCACGTCCTCATCTGATCTCTCTAAAGAGTCCTTATGACGCTCATATCTAGGCGGGGATAGCTTATCAGCTCTGGAGTAAAGTCCGTCAGTGTAGTAGTCAGTGGTCGGCTCTATTATCCCCCTTTTCTGATTCGTCTAATCTTTGCTGCTCTTCACATTTCTGTGAGTCTCCAGTCTTCACTGTACTTTCAACCTGCGAAGAGTCTTTAATTTTCTGAGAATCCTCTTGCTTTGAGGATTCTTCTATTTTCTTCGATCCTTCATCAAGAACCTCTTCCTTCTTATCTACTTCCATCTCTATATCACACCCCAACGACGTCTGGCTAAATCACTCCACTCCCTGTTCCAATTGATCAATTCCAGACCTTTCTGTCGTATTCCCCTCCTCTTTCTCCTCTTTCTCCTCTTTCTCTTCCTTCTCCACATCCCTCTCACTCTCTACTCCCCTCTCCTCATCCTTTCCCCCCTCACTCATCTCCTTATCCCCTTCTTCCTTCTCTTCCCCCTCTTCCCCCTCTCCATCCTTAACGCTCTCTTCATCCTCCAGCACTGGTCAAGCTTCAAGCCCTTCTTCTTCTTTAGGCTCTACCTTAGTCTCTTGTTTCGTAGATAAAGTCTCTTCGTGAGTGGCTTGGGAATTTGTACTTGAACTGGCGCTCGAGGGGTTGGAGAAAGTGGGGTTTTGGGGAAGTTTTTGGGAGGGTTTAGGGGATTTTGGGGAATTTTGGGAGGGTTTAGGGGATTTTGGGGATTTTTGGGAGGGTTTAGGGGATTTTGGGGATTTTTGGGAGGGTTTAGGGGATTGAGGGACTTCTGGATGGGAAGAAGGGGATTTTGGGGGTGAGATTGGGAGGGAGGACTCTTCAGTGGCCTGACTGAGGGTGAATTTGTAGTCGGAAGTTTGTTTGAAGGTCTTTTTAGGAGGTTTGGGCTTTTGTCTGCGTTGGTAGGGTTTACGTGGTTTTTTGAGTTTTTCAGGTTTTGGAGGGATTATTTCGAGGCAGGTACTGGTTTTTATGAATTCTTTAAACCTGTCTTCAGGGACTGATTGACCGATAAGGTCAACTAAGTTTAGCAGAGAGTTCTTTATGAGTTCGATAGATTCTTCTTGTCTTGAAAATTCACCAAGGAACATATTCTGTTTTGTGTTAAAACGTTTGAATTCTTGTATAAGGGATTCAGAAGAGATTTCTTCTGAACATGGAGTCTCTGCATTAAACTTTTGGTCTAATTCAGAAATGAACTGTAGTTTATATCCTGGTGGGGTTGTATCGGAATTTACACAGGTAGCTGGAGAAGGAGCTAATTGTTTATTGACTGATTTTAATAACCTTTGTTCTTGAATCTTGCTTTCTTCAAACAAGGGAGGGCCATTGTTCGTCATTTTTGGTGGACTTTTTGTTGTACCTTCGTTATTTATCCCACTTGCAGGGATGAAGATGAATCTTTCATCTTTTCCCATATCTCCGTTCCACTTAAACCTCACTTTCTCGTTCAAATATCATAGGTTATCAAAAGCTTCCATCGAAGAGATTTCTTCTACCTTATGCCCACTATACATAATAGAATGGGCTCTTGCTTTGGACTCTTTGATAAGCATCCATCAATCGAGTCATATTTTCCTTGGCTTTACTAATTTTCTATTAAGCTCGATCATTTCCTTAAACTGTTCGTACTCTTGTTTCTCAGTTGAGATATCTCTAGGGTGTTTGAAGAGCTCAAAGAGACTCTTCAGTTTTTCCATCTTATCAAGTGGCATGATTAACTTCTTTACTACCATCAGAATGATTCTGTGTGCCTAATTTAAAAAGTTATCTTTCCATGATTCTTAAAGAAAAGGGGTTTTGGGGTTTTGGGGTTTTGGGG